GATTTTCTAGGGATAATTTCACATAAGTACAACTCACACACCTGACTTGCAACATAATAGCTTAGATATCACATTGTAAATCTATAGCCCAAAAATAATAGGCTAATTCCCGAAAAAACAGCTTATTTCGCACAATCAACATAGTATCTGAAGGTAAGAAATTCAAACACCTTTATGTGCAATTGCTGAAGCAATCCAACATGATAAAAGAAAAATAAAAAATTGATAAATGAATTGTAGAATTCCTCCAACGCGTACAAATCTGTTTCATATAGCACATACACGAAAAAGAAGAAGAGAAGGAAGTGTCAAACTTTTGTAGAGATCTCTTACACGCTAACAATGTATATACATCCTTATAAACTGAAAAAATATATATTTATACAATATTATACACAAATATACACATTTATACACAATTATACAATACTGTATAACTTGTATAAATATGTATAATAGTGTATAAGAGGTGTCTGTATACCCATATACACAATTATACACTATTATACAATGTCGATACAACCTGCTACATAGTTATGATTTTCCAGAACTTCAACTTCAAACTTCAGAATCTTCCAAAATTACCAGAACTTCAAACTTCAAAATCTTCCAAAATTAGTGGTTGTTTGTTGGTGCAAATCAAGTTTGAGAGCTATTTATTTTCATATCTGTGTGTATTTTCATCTTTCTTTCAAAAATCTTCTTCGTTCTTCTGCTTGCCACCATGGACGACGGAGTCTTTCTTCGAGCCTTCTTCGAGCCATTAATGGCAGAACTGCGTAGGGGGTAAAGGAGGGGAATAGCGGGGGCTAGGTTAAGAGAGGATGAGGGATCTATGTGGGTTAGAGAGAAAGAAGTGAGAGACGGTGAGAGAGAAGGGAATGAAGAAAGAAGAAAATAATAAAAACCCTAAAAGTATGTCTTTAATAACGGGCTAAAGGCTGAAAAGTTTCTTTCAAATTATGTATAACATGAGCTATATAGGGTAAGAGTTTTAAATGTGGGCCATTTTCGATTGGACTACTAGGCCAAGTGACATGGCTGTAATTCTCCAAGTGACATGGCTGTAATTCTTTCGATTTTCTATTATATTCGTACAGAAACTAAATTCTTTATTTGATATCCCACATTCTAGCATTAACCCAACAATTCTCGACGGTTAGATTTAACCTAGATCTTAAAAAATTAATAGACCAATTCTGTCATCTTCAACAAGTTTTTTTCCAGCTGACAAAAACACAACATTATTCCTTAATTTTTTCAGCCAAACCAATATTAATCATTAGTTTTGGCCCTTAACCAGAGGTCTCGAGTTTGAACTCTGGGTATGGAAAAATCCTTTGTAGGGAGCGCTTCCTCCCGAAAGGGGCCTTACGCGACGCGAATTCGGATATAATCGGGCTCCAATACGGGTGCCGGACACCGGGTGGGCAACCGAAAAAAATCATTAGTTTTGGCGGGTGTAGAGCCCCAATGTTACTTTTGTCAAAAATCATTAGTTTTGGCGGGTGTAGAGCCCCAATGTTACTTTTGTCCATTTTTTTTTTAACGATACATAAGTTAAACACCAAACTTAAAAAAGAATATCCGATGAAAATTCTTAATAAGAAGAGCTTTCTCTAAATGGTTTTGTGCAAATCCAAATTAATTATCAGTCACATAGCAAAAAAAAGTTTTAAAACGAGTCAATAAAACGACAAAATTTAGTGGGCGTTTAGACATAACAATTGTAAAATTCCGAAAAAACGAATTTTTTTTCAAGTAAAAATGGTATTTAAAAACAAGAGTTGTGTTTGGACATAAATATAATTTTGGGTTGTTTTTGAATTTTTGGGAGTGATCTGAGTGAAAATTTTGAAAAACGCCCTTTTGGATTTTTTCAAATTTTCGAAAAAATTTCAAAATTCATGTTCAAGTAAAAATTGAAAAATTTATGGCCAAACACTGATTTCGAAAAAAGTAAATAAGTTTCATGGCCAAACGAGCTCTTAAATTGGTTGGAAGACCAAATATGAAGTATGAAGTAGCATCCTATTTTAGGTCAATGAACTCACCTCCCAAATATGTCCAGGTTCATAAATCATAATCGAGGACAAAAAGGTAATAAAATGATATGTGTATTTATATTTCTCATTTTATCCCTCCTAAAATGATACAAAAATGTTTGCATAATGTAATGTATGTATTATTTATTAATACCGACCAAATACTGTATTATTTTAAGCGAGATTTTGTGCTAAAATTTAATATTATCCAAGATAATCAACCGTGCGAATCAACCTTAATGACATGCTCTTATAGTTACGTAAATGTTATCACATATTTAAAATTATAAGTTCTAACTATACCTTTTATATATACCAAAATTTTTTCTTCTTTTCTTAAATTGCATGTCTAGTTAAATACCTTCATATAAAATGAAACGCAAGAAGAGTAAGATAATAATTCGGAGGTTTATGTGTTTGGAAGTTTACGGGTTTTGAAATTATAAAGTTTATGGGTTCGAAAGTTCGCGGTTTCGAAAGTTTAGCGGTTCGGAAGTTGATGAAATTTGTGGGTTCGGAAGGTTGTTGGTTCGAAAGTTTATGGCTTCATGTTTATTGTATCTAATAACTTATTTATGAATAATTTTGAGAAGTTATTTTCTTTAATTTGAGTACAAAATACCGAAAAATGAATAAAATTGCTATTGTTTTCCAAGAAAACATTTTCTTGGAAAATATTCGTTGTACCAAACACACCATCTATCAGTAATGTTTACACCAAATTCAATCACATTAGTCAATCATAGCTAATTAAGTAACACAACATTGAGGTCAAAATACACACTAACTTTCATGATTAAGTATTAAAAGCAGAAGTGGCGCATGTCATGTATTTAACTATTTCATATAAACATCAAATGCAAATACTCTTTTCGGTCCATAATAAATGATATTTTTTTATTTTGGTCCAAAATAAGTGTCATTTTATATAATCAAGAAAGAAGAAGAAAAAGAAGAAGAAGAAGAAGAACAACAACAAAATAAATTAAAATCCCATTAGTGGGGTCTGGGGAAGATAGTGTATATAGGCTACGGATTGATTTGAATTTGGAATTTGTTGGTGTAACTGATCTTGTTGCAGTCTCGCATTTGCGACCTTACACCTACCCCGAAGGAGTAGAGAGGCTATTTCCGAAAAGACCCTCGGCTCAAGAAAACAAAAAGACAAAAGGAGACAATATTAGTATCACTACAGAAATTACAGGAAAAATAGGAACAACATGAAATCCAGAAGAAAGACGCAAAGCAAAAGCGATAGATAGTAAATAGGTCCTGCACTGAAGAGCGAAATAGTAAGACACAACATTGCCACTAGCAGTTGTGTACATATCTAATATGTCAAGGTAACAATATGTAAATTTTAATTAATGGTAATTTAGTAAATCCATTTTTTTTCTAGCAGTTAGTATTTTCTAAAGGGATGTGCTAAAGGCAAAAAAGTCACTCATTATGAACCAGAGGGAGTAAGATTTTACCCGTGAACAGAGGCGAACTCAAGATTTAAACTCTACATGGATTTAACTTTTTAAGGTTTTTAACATAACCTCATATTATATCTTTATAGTTAGGGTTTTGTTCATATCTATTATATATTACAATTTTAATATTTTTACATATAAATTTACGTTTCGCGTTGAACGTACTGGATTTATATGAACCCGATACCCTAAGAGTGGATCCGCCCATGTGTGAGACCTTTAAAAGAAAACAAGGTAGATTAGCTAATAATTAATAGAGACGGATAATCGTCTAGGTTCAATGATAGTCTCCCCCAATGATGGATTGCTAATGCTGGTTCGTACATATAATATTTATGCAACTGTATATATATATATATATATATATATACATATATATATATGGCTAATTATATTAAACCAAGAAATATCACGTTGAAACATCACTATCCTGATTCCACATGCATGGTAAATAAACCAAACAATTAAGTTTTTTTTAAATCAAAGCACAGATGCTTAGAACTCTATATAAAGAGACCAAGAGTAACCGGTCCTTCCAACTACTCAAAAATTGCAAAGAGCTATTTTAAATTTCTCTTCGAATTGAATTTTGTCTACCAATGGCCTCTAAGTTATTATTCTCNCAAGTGAATGATTTTTGATTAGAGATAGTAGTTTAGTGAATTTTTGTGATACCTACCTAGGTAAAAATTGAGTAAACTTTTTTCGATCGTTATTAAAAAAAATTTGGTGCAATAAAGTGAAAATTGAATGACCATTCATGAGATTAAAACAATTACATTAAATTGATAGTTTAGAAGTTCTTAAGTTAATTCTAAGAAAAACAAGCTAATTCTTTGTTCCTTGAGCCGAGAGTGTACTAGAAATAGCATCTCTAACTTCACAAGATAGGAGTAAGGTCTGCATACATAGTACCCTAGCCTTCTCAAACCTCACTTGTGAGAAGTCTGGTTGTAAGGAGGGGAACCTTGGAGCAACGGTAAAGTTATCTCCTTGGGACCTATAGGTCACGGGTTCGAGCCTTGGAAGCACTCACTAATCACTACTAGAAATTCGGCAAAAACCGACCAAGAAAAACTGACCAACTTTGGTCGGTAAAAAAACCGGCCAAAAACCGACCAAAGTTGGTCGGTTTTTCAAAATATTTTAATTTTTAATTTTTTTTTACGAAACCGACCAACTTTAGTCGGTTTTCTTTGGCGCAAAAATGCGGGAAACTATTTTTGAGTCCCGCGAAAATTTATTTTTCAAGAAACCGACCAACTTTGGTCGGTTTTTTTGGTCGCTAATTACCGGATTTCTAGTAGTGAATGCTTGTGTTAGGGGTAGGCTGTGTACATCACATTCCTTGAAATACGGCCCTTCTCCGAACCCTGCGTAAATACAGGATACTTTGTGCACCAAACTGTTTTTCTTAATTATTTTATGTTGTTAGGTTTTATGTATTAAAAAGTGATTAATGCATTATTTGCAGATAGTAATGAAGGATCCAGAAGGATCAATAATATGGTTTTGGAAAGCTATAAATAGAGGAGACAGAGTAGATAGTGCACTAAAAGACATGGCAGTGGTTATGAAGCAATTGGATAGAAGTGAAGAAGCCATTGAAGCTATCAAATCTTTTAGATGGCTTTGCTCAAAACAAGCTCAAGAGTCCCTTGATAATGTCCTACTTGACCTCTTCAAGGTATATATTAGTAATATAAAATATTCACATTTAGAAAGAAATTATCAATTTATTTTTTTGTTGAACATAAACTTGGTCTTTTCTGATATTCGCTTGATTTTATTGACCGTTAAATCACACGTTTGCGTGAACATATAATTTATTGTCTTTTATCAGCTGAATAAAAGTAAATACGTACGGTCAAACCTCTCTATAACAGGCTCGTTTATTCCGATCTTTTTTTTTTACTGCTATAGTGAAGTGGTGCTATATAAAACATACATTATAACATAACATGAAAAATTAGTTCTAAAAAAAATTGGCTGAACGAACGACTGTTATCGTGAAGTGTTGTTATAGAGAATAGATATCATAAAGAGATTTGACTGTAAATCTGATTTGGTCACTTCATGCTCTTTATTTTCCACTATTTTTGTATGTAGAAATGTGGAAAAGTAGACGAGCAAATAGCACTGTTAAAGCAAAAGCTGAGACAAATATATGAAGGGAAGCTCTTCAATGGTAGGCATACTAAAACTGCTCGATCTCATGGAAAGAAGTTTCAAGTTACTATTAGCCAAGAAACTGCAAGAGTTCTGGTAATTATACCTTTCACATTCTTTAATTTTGTCGCTTCAAATTTTTTTAGCAGGAGCTAGAAGCCCGTATAAGGGTTTGATGGAACGGAGTAGTTTTTAATCAAACAATATATTTGTGTTAAAAAATTTATTAAATATATACAAATATTAAATTTAGGATCCAATTAATACTTGAAGTCGTCGTTATAAATTTCAAATCCATAAAATCAAAATTCTAGCTCCGCTTCTAGCAAATATAGCCTATGGACAACGGATACAAGCTCATCCATCTCTTTTGACTCAACCTGCATAAATAAATAAAATGATTGCCATTTATTAAACAACTAATATAAAAAGGGACGACCCCCGAGAATTTCATAATATTGGTAAATAGCACGGGTTAGTCAGTTTTTGTACTAATAATTAAAAAATAGCTAGTGATTGCAAAATTATTAAAAAATAGCCACTATTTTGCTGAAATACGGAAAGTTCTCGCAAAATATATATGTTGGATTATGGAGCTCATGCGTATAAAGTTCCAACATATTATGTTGGAACTCCATCACACGGAAAATTCCAGCATAATATGCTGAATTATGAAGTTTCTGCGTATAAATTTCAAGCATATTGGAACTCAAGCACATTATGAAATTCCATCACATTATACTGTAATCTCATATGTAAAAAAATCAAACTCCAGCATATTATGCTGGAATTTTTCGAATTTTTAAGGGTGTTTTTGTTCAGATTTTATCTTTACATGAAAAAGCGACTAAAATTCGATTTCTTTAAATGTGGCTATTTTTCAATTACCAGTTGTAAATCTGGCTATTTCTAATTTTTGTGCTTAATTTTCTGGTTGTTTTAGGGTAATTTGGGCTGGGCTTATATGCAAAAAGGAAATTATATGGCAGCAGAAGTGGTGTACAAGAAAGCCCAAATGATTTATCCAGACAGCAACAAGGCCTGCAATCTGGCCCATTGTTTGATTAAGCAAGCCCGATATGATGAAGCCCGTTATATTCTTGAAGATGTTTGGAGTGGTAAATATTTGGGCTCTGATGATACAAGAACTAAAAATCGAGTAGAGGAATTATTGTTAGAATTGGACTCAAAGCAACCTCCACACTTTTTGCAAAATATTCCGGGCCTTAATTTAGATGATGATTTTGTAAATGGGCTTGAAGGTTTGATTAATGAATGGGCCCGGCCCAAATCAAGAAGGCTTCCAATATTTGAGGAAATCTCTACATTTAGAGATCAATTGGCATGTTGATTGATTTCTAATTTTTCTATCTTGGACATGAGGATCATTGTAAATATTTGTAGTCTGGTCGAGTTTATGATTTAGGGTTCAGGGTTTAGATGTGATAACTGTAAATTGTAATGTAAATTAGATCTTGGGGCAGAGTTTGGAAAATGAATATAGTTAGCTTGTGACGTTTTGGTGGTCAAGAGGTCATAATTCGAAATTCAATTTTCGTTTAAAAACAGCTTCAATTCAAGCACAATTTACTGAAGATATATTTTCAATTGCAACAAGGCACTAACAAGTAACGAGTTCTAACTATTGAAGAGTATGGTGGAATTTTTTTTACCCTTAACTAGAGGTTCAGGTTAGAATAGAGTCCTATTCTATATACAACATTAAAACCTACGGTAATCGACTAATTATTCTCCCTCAAACGAAAACCTACAAGGTCCTAATTCTCATCAAACAAACCACATATGTATATATAATTTCTTGGATTCCTTTTTTCTTATAGCCGAGAAATACTCGACGTCAGTGACACTCGATTTGGGACTCATCGGATAATGACCTTTCTACCCTTTTCCATCTAAACATCAGGTTCTTATATGTGACAAATTTCAAAATCATAACATGCATCTAACCAACCCATCACTTGTGTCCCTCTTGCCACTAGATTAAAGTTATAGAGATTAATTTTTTGAATTCCTCCCGATCATAAATCAGGAAATTATTTTTTTAATTGAGCATAATCCAAAAAATTCAATATAATGGTCTTCCTTCTCAAATTTCAATATTATCCATCATAACACCTGTAACTTCTAGAACCTGAGCTTTTACTTCTCCTTCAACATAACATAATAAAATATCTATCAATCAACTACATCTTAGTATAATTTATCAATCAATCAACTACTCCTCAATCAATCATATTAATTCGGTCAAATTAGACTACTTTTAGTATATCGACTAATTGTACTATTTTAATTCGCTACTCGATTAATCACAACCCTTCTCCTTTAATCGACTTTAAACAGAGATTATAATTTGCGAAACATACATAAACAAAGATGAGTAGAATGATAAGGAAAAAAAAGAGGAAAATGACTCACTCAAGCCGTTATCAACGAGATAGTTGAAATTATTTTCATTACAGTTAACTCCTGTGGCAAGAAAATAATATATTTGGTCCACTGCAATACACTCGAACTATAATATCACGAAAATAATTCTTTTTCTTTACAATCATTTTTAACATTTACGTCGGTTGTTCTCAATTTTCAATTCATCCACCTTGTATAATTTTCAAGGAAATAAATTTTCTACCAATTTTTCGTACCAAATACACTTGGTGCTCTGATCTACAAAAATAAGAGAAAGAAAGACAAAAATGAAATTTGGGCTTATCATTTAAAAATGAGTGGATGGTATACCATTTTCTTTTATTCTAAAAATAAACGAATTTCTCATCTTGTAGTTTCAAAATACAAATCTTAACCTTTGAAGAAATAATAGATATGCAACCTTTTTTTTTTGGAAAGATTATATCAATTACTTAAAGTTCTATCGGTAATTAGTTAGATATTTTATTAGTTTGTAAAATATATCATAGCGCAATAAACTTTTTTTATAAACGAATCTACTGTGACATATTAAACTTAAATGTTAAAAATTTGAGGTGTATGATTCTTTCGAAACTATATACATGGGTAATTGTTAATTAGTTTAGATTGATCATGAGTCGATCTATACAGGTCAAAGTAATTATTTTAAAGTAGAGTTGTCTGTCTATTTCCGGAAATTAGCCAGATCAATGACAGTTTGTATTAAGGTGTACTTGTACTTTTTTAAGTAGCATGAAGAGAGTGGCTTAACTTGTGTGAAAAATAACATATAATTTTTTTAAAATATTTAATGTGCTTTTGCAGGCCTGAAAGACCGATATAGATTGTCTACACAGATGGGGGCCATAACTCTACTTAATTTGGGTTCTTCTGATAAGAACAATGGGCTTGACAAATGGCAGAATGTTAAATTATTCAAAACTGCTCTCATGTTATCTTAGCGTGTTTCATGCTATTGTCATATTGGAAATTTTATGGTCTTGTCATTAAATTGTGGCTTAGATACCACCCAAATCGGAGTAAGAGACGCTTTTCTGGCCTCTCAGGCTTTGCATGTTCTTTACACTTTGTTTCAAACTTTTCATTTTTCGAGCCATTTACTCTTGCTCACCATTCTTAGCATGTTTCTCCACTTCGGCTGGAAAGTCATATTGAGAGGCTTGTTAGAAAGAATCAGGTGTAGCATAAGTGATCTCGGGCGGAAAATGAGAACCCTATGGGATGAAAGTTGGTGGTTCAGTATATGATCTTGGTATGTTCGGTTGTGTGTTGGTGAAGGTGGGAGCAGTAGAAATGGCCAGTGGTGCTACTCTCGTCATGGGTGCCCGGGGACGAGCAACAGAAGGCATACCGGTGACATTGTCAGGTATGGGACCATACCCGTAAGAAAAGAACGGGTTTGGCATGGGACATTGGTAATCCCGGCCGTCCAAAGAACCATTTCCGGGAACCTAGGGATAGCACTAGGGGTTTTTTCCCATTCACCCATGCATCCCACATTTCCATCATCCGGACTCGGAGCAGTATGTTTTCTTCAGCTATTGCCGACCTGGTGGAATGGCCGGTGCCGAAGGTCAATTACTTTCACATGCCGTTGGTACACTTCCCTTGAGCATGTGAAATATGGATGAGAGGCCAAATTACCACAAACCAACCACCGAAGAGATAACCTTTGTTTGACACACACAACAAACTCGTTAGTTTTAGAGAATTTAATAAAAAGTCACACGTAGGTATGCCATGCACCGAGCAGTTAAAATTCTTCTATCATGTTTCAAACGGTTTCATGCCTCATCACGACTTTATTTATTGCCTTATTTCTTTTTATGTCTCTCTTTTCTTTTCTTTTCTTTTCTCACAACCTCTTTTTTGGTCCTATTATACTCTTTTTTTTTCTTTGTCTTGCTTTCTTATTCGTGTTTTAGTACGTATCATGATGCCGCATAAATCAGACCTTACGTAGTTCAGGGGAATGTATGCAAATAAAAGAAGAATATTTTTTTTCGGATTTTTAATCTTCTCACAATCATTACACTTCTTGGAGGTGTAATCAGCTATATTCCGAATTCCGGTCTTTGTGTCCCTCTGATCTTGGGGCAGTCTCTTGATTTGCTGCTCTCGGACTTGCACCAACTGTTCGGCTTCATCTCTCTGATTTTTCCAGTTTATCATATCCTCCTTTAGCTGGTTTAGCAAATTATAACAATGCTTCCTTCCTGCCCTAAGATCTCCAGATTGTCGACCTATTTAATTTTCAAGGGATCCTTCTTTAAACCAAAAACCTCTTCCTCATGGTTCTGTTTTGCTTGGCGGGCTAATCTCAGACGATTTTCTGTGTCTTCTCCTAATTGGATTATTCTCTGTTTTGCCCTTCCCAATTCTTTCACATTTTTTCAAGTCGGCTGCATAATCAAACACCTTCTGCCTCAAGTTGGTGATAATCATTTGATCCCTTTCACATCTAACCAATACTTCTATGCTCTCTTGGCTTCTCCAAGCTGGGCTCAGAGGGATTCGTTCTCACGGGCTAAACTCTTGTTTTCTCCCTCGTCCGCTTGAGCGTGTAACTTTTTCTCAAAACTAATGACCCTCAATTTTTCTTGCAAAGCACTAATAATGGCACGATATTTTTTTTTCTTTTTCTATCCAAGCCCACTGCTCTTTTGCTCTATCAGCAAAATTCCTGGACATGGGGCCTTTTTCCGGGTCTCTCGGGCTCAACATTCACCATCGCTTTCTTCCCACTGCGTATCCAGGTTCAACCTTACTTTTTGACAAGCCATGCACTCGAGTGACACTCGTTCCAAATTGATCGACATACATTCTCAAGAAATGGATCTTGGGGATGAAACTCAATCACATGAACACTAAGTTCCTCGTCCCGACGAACTAGCTGGTACCTTCCCAACACTCTGTGTGGGGCATACGGCTGAATGCTGTAGAGACCCATCAAGAGAAAGTAGTAACCAATGGCAGGCATATGAATAACTTCGTCAACAGGAAGCCAACCAAAATTCCACTCGACCTGACTCGAAGTCCATGATTCGATGCGGGTAATCCAGGCCCCGACCCCCTGTGGCATCTCATAACCACTCACCCTTGTTTCAATTCTTCAATACAGCTACCCCCTTTCACCATAGTTCATATACCCGGGGCGGTGACAGAGGTGTTCTACTAACTACATTTATAGCAAAAGGTTGCAACCCTCAAAGAATTTAGCTCCGGTCTTACAGAATGTCAAAGCTCGGAATATATCTGACACGATCATGGGTACAAGGGTACTTTTAGCTTGAGTAGTCAAATCCAAAGTAACTCCAGCTAGACGCAAGTCGATGTTCTTGTCCTCCCTCGGGAATACCAATGTGCCTAAGAATGCCACTATGAAAACGAAACCCCATGTACTTCCTACTTGCCTCTACTCCCTTTGTTTCAAAGCCCGTTCTCATGAATCTCGAATCCCTTTGGTTGTCCATAACGATGGTATAAAAACTAGAAAAAGCAAAATCCACCTTCTAGGTGTGAGGTCTTGATTTGCCGCTTATTTTCAAAAGATCTAAGAACTTATGGGGAGTGATGCCTCTCAGGGCTATAGGGTACTTATGCCTTAGAGCTTCGGCATTCCAGCGTAGCCTACTATTTCCTCCAAGGTGGGTGTCAACTCAAAGTCAGAGAAATGAAATACATTATGGGTCGGGTCCCATAATGGCACCAACGCCTCTATTAGATGGCTTCGGGGCTTAATCTTCATCAAACCGGTATGCGCCCCAGATGCTGCGTGACCCAATCCCGTCTCTCTTTTCCTAGATCATCCCACCATATGTGAAGTCCTAGTGGGATCTCATCAACAACTCATAAGGTTAGGTTCTGGACAATGCTCATTCTGCATGTGTGAAGAACGAAAAAGGTCAACAGGGAGATATTTTTCAAAGTAATCATGGGAAAATCAATTCTAGCAAGTTCAATTTTCAAAAACCAAGGCAAAACAAAGGGTGGCTACTTTTGCAAATACGGCCGTTCAACACTTCGAGGGAAGATTTTAGGGCTGTACTAGCCAAGCGGCGCAAATTTTGAGGGAAAGACCAACTGCGACTATTCTTGCAAAA